CTATCATATGTTTATAAAATTTTTGTATGATGAGTAAATTTTATAGTTAGATTTAGATAAAGATGGTCAATTAAATCATCTCCATCTGGCTCGCTACGCCATTCATGCATAGTTTGCGATTCTATAGGTCCAGAATATTGTATAAATATGTCTAATTTTAGGTAAATGTGCAAAATGTATATATAAATATGTTTAAATGCTCAAATGTATACAAATATTGTCATGCTTCTAAAAAAACATGGTCTAAATTTATAAAAAAAATTGGCCAAATTTATAGCAAAGGGGGCCAACAGTGTAAATATTTTCACAAGTGGGTATAAATGAAACCCAAGTATCTTGAAATATGCTCAAGTGTCTAGAAATGTGCACAAACGTACAAAAAAGTGTCCAAAGTTGAAAGAATCAAATATGCAAGATTGTTCCCAATGGTGTAAGAATGTGCCTAAGGGTGTCTAAGAATGTAAGAATTTAGAGAAAAAAGTAGAAAACGGTGTGAATATTTTCGCAAAAGTTTAAAAATACGGTCCAAGTAAATAAGAATGTGACCCAAGTATCTTTAAATGTGACCAAGTATCTAGAAATATGCTCAAGTGTCCGAAAATGTGCGCAAACGTACAAGAAATGTGTCCAATATTGTAAGAATCTGCTGAAATATGCAAGATTGTGCCCAAGCGAAAAAGAATGCACAATAAAACCAAAGAATGTGCTCAAGGACGTAAGAATGTGCCCAAGGACACAAAAATGTGCTCAAGGACACAAAAATGTGCTCAAGGACATAAAAATGTGCTCAAGGACACAAAAATGTGCTCAAGGACACAAAAATGTGCTCAAGGACACAAAAATGTGCTCAAGGACACGAAAATGTGCTCAAGGATGTGAGAATGTGCGCAAAGGAGAAAGAATGTGCTAAAGGACGTAAGAATGTGCGCAAGGAAGAAAGAATATGCGCAAGGAAGAAAGAATATGCGCAAGGGTGAAAGAATGTGCCCAATGATGTAAGAATGTGCTCAAGGACGTAAGAATGCGCCCAAGGACGCAAAAATGTGCGTTAGGGAGAAAGAATGTGCGCAAACGTACAAGAAATGTGTCCTATATTGTAAAAATGTGCGCAAGGGAGAAAGAATGCGCCCAAGGACGTAAGAAAGTGCCCAAGGACGTAAGAATGTGTGCAAGGGAGAAAGAATGTGCCCAAGGACGAAAGAATGTGCCGAAGGACGTAAAATTGCGCCCAAGGACGTAAAAATGCGCCTAAGGACGTAAAATGCTCTGGTATCTAAAAACGTGTTTGGGCTTCTAAGAATGTGCCCCCAAGTCCAAAAATGTGCATCCAAAGCTAAAAATGTGCTTCCAAAGCTAAATATGTGCTCAGTGTGTGTGTATGTGTGTGAAATGTGGTGTTGAAGAGCATAAACTGGACAGACAAAATAACAAATGAAGAAGTCCTGAGAAGATTGTGCGAAGAAAGAACTCTACTCAGCACGATCCTGAAAAAAAGGAAGCTGGATCGGATCTTTTTTTCTTTAAAAAAAAGTGCCTCCTACACTACGTAGACGAGGGTAAAATGGAAAGACTGAAAGAAATGCGAAGAAGAAGAATGCAAATGATTGACGGCTTACGCGAGGAAAGAAAATACAAAAAACAAAGCCAAAGTGCAGGACCAGGAAGAATGGAAGCAGAAGTTTGAAGAGAAAAATAAACAAAAAATGTATAAAAAAGAGCAATACTGATAATGGGAACGATAGACGAGGGAGGTAAAGAGAATCATTGATTTGTGGTGTCTCTCACACCATAAACCTGCCTTAGGGCAGACTACCATTTGTTATATATATATATATATATATATATATATATATATATATATATATATACATTGCACAATGTATACAGTATGCAAATGTTCGTAATTATTTTTCTTAATTATAAAAACAGAAATTTGTTTTTCGAAGCGAGCTTATGAATTTTAAACAAGAGGAAATATGATAATATAACATAAATACTTTTTATACACATGTGCGCATTTACACACACACACATATATATATAAATATATATGCGTGTGTAAAATATAAGTCATAACTTGTTCTAAGAAATTCATACAAATTCCAAATACTTATCAAGTTTATCACAAAATTCTAACCTTTCCGAAGTGACCCCAAATCCTGTTCAGATAAATAATAGACGGATCATAGAATTTTGTTCATTGCTCTAAATATTTGAATCATTAGCGAACAAAATAGATTATAAATTGTCATTTATTGAGTAGCATTATTCTTGGAAAAAAAATCAGAGAATAATCAGATCAAACAGAATTTAGTTCGCAAGCTAATACATTAAATCCTGTTTTTAGATAAATTTTAGATAAATAAATTAGCTACCCAAAAACCTATAATTTCTAAATAAAAATTATCCTTGAAGTCCAAACAAATGCAATACCAGTCGGTATAATTGGCATTCGTGGCATGAAAATTTCTTACTAATAATAATACAGTATAAATGAAAGACATTTCAAATCTTTCAATATCAACAGAAAAATATATTTGCAATTTCATAATATATTAATATTATATTATAGTTAATTATTCGTTTATAATAAAGCTTTTATATTTATATATTTATATATGTTATAATTGAGAGAGATAGAGAGATGTATATAGAGAGAGAATTAAGGTATAATAGATATGACACAATATTTTTAACAATTTTTTTAGCCTTATATATTAGTACAGTACATGGTATTAAGTATGAGAAGTTTTAGAATAATTTATTAATTTAATATTTAATTATTTTAAATTAAAGCAAAAAATGGACAGCCATTTTGCTATAAAGTAAAAAAAATAGAAAAAATGTGTAAAAGTGTGTAAAAGAGCATGTATATAAACGTGTACGAGTGTGTGTAAATGTGTACCAGAGTGTATATAAACGTGTATAAATGTGTATGGGTGTGTATAAACGTGTACGAGTGTTTAGAAATGTGTACGAGTGTGTATAAGTATATACAAGTGTGTATAAATATGTAGGGGTGTGTATAAATGTGTAGGGGGTGTAAACGTGTACGAGTGTGTATAAGTGTGTACGAGTGTGTAAAAGACACGCTGGAGTGTGTAAAAACACGCTGGAGTGTGTTTAAACATTCTGGAGTGTGTACAAAACATTCTAGAGTGTGTACAAACATTCTGGAGCGTGTACAAAATATTCTCGAGTGTTTATACAACATTCGAGAGTGTGTATAAACATTCTGGAGTGTGTATTAATCATTCGAGAGTGTGTATAAACATTCTGGAGTGTGCACAAAACATTCTGGAGTGTGTGCAAAACATTCTAGAGTGTGCATGAATATTCTACATAGAGTGTGTACAAACATTCTGGAGTGTGTACAAAACATTCTGGAGTGTGTGCAAAACATCCTGGAGCGTGTAAACATTCTGGAGGGTGTATAAACTTTTTTATGTGTGTATAAACATGCTCAAATATGTATGGATATACACAAGTGTGTATAAATGGTTGCAATTGTAAATAAATGTGCTGAAATGTTCTTGAATGTGTATATATTGTGGAGTGTGTATATATGTTCTGGAGTGTGTAGAAATGCTCTTGAATGTGTATAAATATTCTTGAATGTGCATAAATGTTCTGGAATGTCAATAAATGATCATAAATTAATAAATTTCATTTCAAGCATTTTGTAAGTAAACAAACGTGCCAAATTTATAGCAAAATGGATATATAAAATTGGAATAATATTTTCTTTGTCTAGTCAAGAATTGGAAGAGAAGTCAATGGTTATATATATATATATATATATATATATATATATATATATATATATACATATACATACATATATAAACATAATTATATATAGTATAAACTACAGCAAATTTGGTATTTTAATTAACTTTAGAATCCAGAAGCCTATCACAAAAACAATATATATAATTTTCAAAAAGTTTCGAGTATTTTTTGCCCTATATTTATATTTATATTTAAAATTAGTCAAAGATATGTTTTTTAGAAGTTTCAAATAGAGTTTGAAGTCCTTATACATTATTTTACAACAATTTTAGGGTACGGTACCCAAATTAGAAGCTTTACATACACCTACCTAGAATATATATATTAATCATAATTATTTAAATTGAGATACGACTCATATCACGATATACATATATTTATTATAACAGTTTCAGAACCATTATTGGCTTTTTAGCATTAAAGTTTTACAGAATTGATGTAAGAGACATGGTATTCTTATTATAGACTAATAAAATATTTTTGTTACTAAATAGATTTAAACTATATTTTGAAAATATTTATTTATTTAAACAAATAGTCTCTTGCATCAATTTGTTCGTTTTTGAAATAAATTTGACGTGGCAACATCTTAGCCTTATTTATTTATATATTTATTTAACGTTTAAAGCATTTATTTATATATGTATTTTTCAGAGAGACATTTTGTTTAAAAATAATTGTTTAAACTAATTATACTCTCAAAAGTGTAAAAAGTCATTCATAATTTTTTTAATAAATGTTTTAATATAAATATATAGATTCCAGTATAAAATAATTCTATACAAAAACAATTTTTAACGAAATTCATCATGTAATCTAACAAGATTCTAACGAAATATAGATTATTAACAAATTTTGTTTAGTTTCTTTATTAATTAAATTAATTAAAAATTTGCATATTTTTATAATTATTGTGTATAAGTACTTTCACGTCAAGAACACATACATATATATTTACACATATGTATTTATATTATCATTATTATAAACATTTATAAGCTTATAATATTTTCATATATCAATTATAATATTAAATATCCTTCTTGATAATCTTCAAAAATCTAATATTCTAATAAGTAAAAAAAAACTAGCAACATCGATTTATACATATATACGTATATATTGTTTTAGATCTTAATATTATATACATCAGATCAGTTAGAACATTTCTTTTCTATTATATCACTATTAAAAATGTTTGATGCCCATGAATCTGATTTAAAATCATTCCATTATCTTATATTAATAATATTAAATTTCTTAAAAGCTAGTAAGCACAACTCTTGACTTTTTTAAGACTTATTATCTAAGACTGGCCATGTGGCCTAAACCTAATGGTAAAGGATAGACCAGTACTAGTCCAAGGATATATATTTTTGTGGCAATTCAGGAGTATAATGAGTTGTTGTAGGGCATTGTGGTGTTAGATAATATTGTAGGTTGTTTAATTTTGTAAAAATTCGCCGAAAGCATCATTCATATTAATCGAATGGTTTAAAAGTTACAGGAGACTTTATGAATAAATGCACCGCCTATAAATAATACATCGGGCTAGTATTGGTCATCCAAAAATTATACCAGAAATTAATATTTATTCCCACTCGAGACAAAAACTCCAAAAAATATAATTATAAAAAAATTTTAGTTAAATATTTGAAAGCAAAACAGTATAAATTTTTTCCTCAAAAACAGGACCTGCCAAAAACTTTATCCAAAACAACTTAAGTGATAAATATTTCGAGCCAACTTAAAAATCTAATCATCAACTATTCGAGATGATAATTATCTACCACTCTATCTTTTCCTCCTCACTGTTGCCTTGATGATCCTCCATTCAGGTCATTCGACGACCCTCCCTGTGACCCAACCTGAGACCCATGTTCCGAAATCCTTGGTGACCTGGAACTTAAAGCCATCTTCTGCATCTGCCTGATGACTGCCGTGGCATGGTAGGCCTGTCTCCACCTCAATTTCGCGAAGTTCTTCCTCAGTTGCTCCGAAACAGTACCGTGGATGTTCTTATCGTGAGCAGCATCACCACAAATCCAGGGATGTGCCAAAGCCTGCTTGCAGGTGTATCTTTTATCCACATCCACGCACATTAGACAACGTATGAAGTCCTTGGCCGAGTCTGAGATGTCGTCCCAGTAAGGCGAGTCGAACTCGAATTCTCCTTTCAGGATTTGGGCGAACAGATGGGCATCGTTTTCATCGTAGAATGGTGGGTAACCGCACAGGAGGATATAGGAGATGACTCCTATAGACCAGACATCAACAGCTTTACCATAAGGTTTTTGTGCTAAAACTTCAGGAGCAACGTAGCCTGGTGTACCACAAGCTGTAGCCATGATACCTGAATCTTCCATTTTGGACAAACCAAAATCACTGATCATGATCTTGCTATCTTCAGCAGGACTATAATACAGCAAGTTTTCAGGTTTTAAGTCTCTATGGACAACACCACGTTCGTGCATATAGTCTACAGCTTCCAAAACCTGTCTGATCAAACCTGATGCATCCTTTTCGGTGTACGAGCCACGTTCTACAATTCTGTCAAAAAGTTCACCACCAGTCACCAATTCCATAACCAAATACACCTTGTTTTTGTCCTCGAAGGTTTCCAAGAGCTGCACAATATTCGGATGCGTCAGGAAAGGTCCTTTCTCATCCTTGCGTTCAGAAAACCTCTTCAAAACCTTGATTTCATTCTCAAACGAATCTTCTTTACCCTTGACTGCCTTTTTATCAATAATTTTGACAGCAAACATCTTGCCATTCTCTTTACTTTCTGCTAAACGAACTTCGGAGAACGCACCAGTTCCTAATTGCTCCTTCAAAATATATTTATCCTCGATGTTGCCTTGATGACCGATGCAGGAGGTGAAGGAATCCGTTTTGGATTTTTTGGCAGAGTCTTTTTTACCGAAGAGAGGCATTTTGATGAATATTTTAGACAAGATGAAGACAGTGGTTTATGGACATTACCAAAAGAGGAGCTTGGAAAAGTTTATCATTAATTACTAAATAACAGATCACAAAAATGAACACGATATTTTTGGTAACTAGATACTACAGGATTTTGAGATTTTGTAACTAGATCCACCAGTTTTCTTCACATTCTCAAAATCCTTTTAAATATTTTAGCTACAAATTCGAGTCTTTGGACACCAATTTTTACAAGCAAATCATAAGCACTTATTTAGTTTTTAGCACCAAATCCGAAAGTATTCTACTGCTGGTGCACTATTTACACCGACACCAACTATGTTTATCAATATATCACTAACAACAGTCTGGTGTTGCTATCTTTTGTAGCAACCACTATCAACAGTCTGGTGTTGCTATCCTTTGTAGCAACTTTGTTATTATATTTCAATCAGATTTGTGGAAGATGCAGTCAAGTCTTGAAGTTAACAGACACTTTGTTTTATTAATTGGACACAACTATGTCAACTCAACTATCAATTTTATCATCACAATCTGGACGCCAATATTTTGCAAATAAAAACACTACCAAAACCTTTGTTTTTTCCACTATTTTCCAGCTACTGTTTTTGGCAATCAACATTCACTACTACCAATATTTTTGGACGCCAATTTTTAAATCACATTTCATTTTCAACTAAAAGTCCACAGTTTGTTTTTAAGAACAATCATAATGTTTTGGAAACATTTTGTATTTTTTGGTCTATAGTCCGTGCCTATATGATAGGCACTTAGATTTTGGTCTAGAATTATTTGTTTAGCAAAAAATTTTACACATTGTAATGGATAACCTAGAAATAATAAGAAAACACTATTGCAACATTTGGAAGAAAACACTAGATGGTTATTTGTAATTTATAAATGAATAAAGTATTTAATATTTTGTTAACAACTCTTTCTTAATCAATATATTAGGAACATGATATCATTAATTTTTTATTTATAATAATTTGTGTTTGATTTAAAATAATTATATTTAATATTTATATATTTAAATTAATATAATTTAAATTATATTTAATAATATTTTAGTTATTGAGTTTATTTATTTCAATTCTGCGTGAAATTAATATTGGATTTCAGTATATATATTTAATAACGTAAATTTCTCTTACGCGATCGATAAAGCCCCAAAATAGCCATTAAACGATTGTATATATATATATATATATATATATATATATATATATATATAGATAAAGTTCAATTTATTTGATTATTGCTTTATTTAATTACTATATAGAATTAAAAAATAAGACATGAGTAATTAAATTCTTGATTCTAATAAAATTCAAAGAGAGATGTAAAATACATCACAATTTTCAACAAAAAGCAAAATTGCACTCAAAATTATCAAAATAACATACTTATTTTTATACAGAATTATTGTTTTAATATTTTTGACAAATCCATTCAAAATTTAATAAGATTCTTGTCAAATATTCTTAGCCCAATCAAAAATTCCAACAAGAATCTTTCAAGAATTCTATCAGGATATTACAGGATAAATAAATTATTAATAAAAACATATTGTAACAAAAATATGTGAGAAACTTAGTCAATATTATCAAAATATTATTAAAATTGTTTTTAATGCTCTGGTCTGACAAATACAATGAAATTTCTTTAAGAATTCTTATCAGAAATAAAAATTCTCATAATAGTAATTAATTTCGCAAAAATGCAAATATTTCAACAGCTTTTTCCAAATAAACTCATCAACAAGAGTTTCTAAAACTTTTTAACACATTATTGAAAAAATTAAAGAAAAAAATATATATTAAACTACCAAAACAGATACATTTCAGTAATTGAACTGTTTTTAACGCCCTTACTCTTCTACTTCACTAATCCAATTAAATTTCTTTAAAAAAATCTAATCAGAATCAAAAATTCTAATTAGAATAATCTGTTTTTTTCCTTTTTTTATCAGATTATTGAAAAAAAATATCTGTAATTTGTAGTTGTTAAACAAAAATCTGAAAAATATATTTAGAAAATAAATATATTATTAAAAATGAGTTCAATGCCTTTTTCTTTAAAAAATCCAATAAGAATCAAAATTTCTAATTAGAATAATCAGTTCCAAGTCATTTTTTTCAGTTCCTTAAATAAATTGTAGTTTGTAGTTACTAAATAAAAAACATTATTAAAAGATTGTCATTAAAAATAAGTTCAATGCCTTCTCCTTTAAAAAAATCCAATAAGAATCAAAATTTCTCATTAGAATAATCAGCTTCAAGTCATTTTTTTAGTTTCTTAAATAAATTATGTAGTTACTAAACAAAAATCAAAAGATTGTCATCAAAAATGCCTTGTCATTAAAAATGAGTTGAATGCCTTCTCCTTCAAAAATTCCAACCAGAATCAAAAATTCTAATTAGAATAATCATTTTTATATAATCATATCATTTTTTAGTCTCTTTGAAGTTTTTTCCACACAGTGTGTTAAGTAACGTGAGAAATATTCATGTTGTGTATGAAATACACGTTTTTCTGTTTATTTTTCGCTAAAAAGCCTTGAAGCGTATATATTTCTTAAACAGGAAAAAAAATCTAATGTGTCATCATTCATATACACATATTGTATCATATTAGCAAATGTTGTTGTTGCTGGGACTGACACGTGTTTCGAAATGGAAACAGAGTCGATGGAAAAAATTAATAAAAATAATTATTTAATAGTAAAATAATTGCTAAACAAATGCTGCAATATTCTCTTGAAACAATAATTTTATAAAAGTTGCTCAATGGTTTTATCAAGCTAGAAATGCATGTGAATGTATAAACTTGGCTTTATCAATTTGCGTATTTCTTTGTTTAATAAATATCGTTTTATTATTATTATAAATTCTTTTGCGCAAATTGTGTTTAAACAATTATAAAGACATTTGGTTAATTAAATTCTTGACTAATTTACAATATTTGTTTATTTAAAATCAGTCAAATATCTATTAAATATTTTTAAGTAAAATTAGTAGAAGCATTTATTACAATTGGTTTTAAATATTAAGGCAATAATCAAGAAACACGATTTTATTCAAGTATTGTCTCGATATTGACTCATTCCATGCTCCACACTCATTTAGGAAAAAAAAACTATAATATTCACTCAATACTCGATCAAGATTCATTCAGCATTCACTTAATAATATTAGATATAGATAGAAGAAGTATTGACTCGATATTTAGCTCGATACTCAGTCATTACTCTTTTTTTAAAAAAGTCTGTAGTATTCATTCAATACTCGATTGATCATTCAACATTCACTCAATAATCGTAGATCTCGATACAAAAAATATTGACTCGATATTTACTCATTTTTAGCTCGATACTCAGACATTACTCAATTTTTAAAAAAAGTCTGTAGTATTCATTCAATACTCGATCGATATTCATTCTACATTCACTTATTATTAGTAATCGTAAATCGCGATACTTGAAGTTTTACTCGATATTTACTCATTTTTAGCTCAATACTCACTCAGCACTCACCCGATATTTAAGAATTTGTAGTGCTCAGACAATACTTGATAAATATATATTCAATATCCCGCTCACTCAAAAATTAATAAAAATGTCCTCAATCAATTATTATAGTAATAAATTTATTCTCAAAGTATTGACTCGATATTTACTCATTCCATGCTCGATACTCACTCAGTCATTACTCATTTTTAGAAAAAAAATGACTGTAGTATTCCTTAAATACTCGATCGATATTCATTCAACATTCATAAAAACTCAATAATTTCGATACTTGAAGTATTGACTCGACATTTACTCATGTTTAGCTCGATACTCAGTCATTACTCATTTTTAGAAAAACTGTATTAGAAAAAAATATTTCGATATTCTTTCAACATTCAAATAAACTCAATAATCTCGATACCTGAAGTATTGACTCAATATTTACTGATTTTTAGCTCTGTACTCACTCAGCACTCACCCGATATTTAAGAATTCATAGTACTCAATTAATACTCGACAGATAGATATTCAATATCTCGCTTAATAGAAAATTAATTTCGATATTAGCTCAATATATACTCACTAATCGCTCGATGCTCAATTATCACTCATTTGGCATTTAAATAATTTGCAATCAATTCTGAATTGATAGTTTTTCAATATTTGCTTAAAATAATCGATCAAGCCATATTTGTTCTACGTAATCAAAGAAAATTGTGTAAGGCAACTAGAATATCGATTATTTTATTATTTGCTCAATGTTTACTCATTTTTGCTATATAGTTACTCAAACGATATTAAATCTATCAATTCAATCAATACTTAATAATTTCTTAATAATCTCTTCAATTTTTAAGTTTTACTGACGTCTACTCAATATTCATTTAATAATGCTCAATAAATTAGTTTTTTTTTTTACTCAAGACCAGCTTTATATACAAAAATATTTACTTGCCCTATAAAATAAAACTCAGTGACACCTGTTACATCTGACTCATCGATATTCTGTCAATACTCAAAAAACGACTCATTATTTTTGAGCATTTTCAAATCATAAATCGAGTCATTCATTCATTCAACAGTAACTCGAAAATTCATTTATTCATTTAATATCATTCATGATCAATATTATTGAGTTTGCATTTGCTCAAGAATCAGACAATTATTATATCCAATATTTGTATTTACTCATAACTAAAAATTTTTCTATTAAGTTTAAATTTTTATGAATAAACCAGCAATTTTTGTTTCGAATTAGATTCCAGTAAAAAATCAAATGGGAATATTTAAATTTTGTGGAAATGTTCAAAATCCAGTAAGATTCTAAATATTTCAACAAAGCAAATTTTGTGTATATATTTTAATCTTAATAGAATCGAGACATTTCGGATATTCTCACTAAACTCGAGCAATATGTTTTTTAAATTATTTTTGTTTATTTATTGAATGTTATAGTTGTTATGTGAAAATCTTATTAGAATCAAGAATTGTTTTGGGAATTTGATTAATGAGTGTTTGTGGCAAAAATGTTATTAGAATCAAGAAATGTACAAGTTGTAAGAATTATTCTAGTATTTATTATAAATAAAAACAAGTTTCTAAATGTGATGTAATAGCATATAAGTAAAAAAAAAGTTAAGAAGGATTTG